GTATTATTATAACAGTCACGGACATCTGTCCGGCGTCATCGTTTATCTATCTCACTTACGATTACTATTTACTATACTATGATGTTAATAATCAGAACGTGATAGATGTAAATAACAATTATCGTCTAACTAAATATATCGTCTGTAGTGAGTTTCTTTTATCTTGTTTCAAATCAAAAAAAAAACTAGAATCATAATTCTTTAGTACAATTGAAATCATTACTGCGGAAGATTTTTTTTTTCTGTCAAAATAATTGTATATACTTCATCTCACTTGTTGTCGTCTGACACAACATATGCGACAGTGACGACCTAATTAGTGGCGGCGAATGCACACACACATACACACGGACACATATATACATTTATTGAAGAGAACAGAGTAAAGTATGCTCGTAGTCGTTGTCCATCTTCTTTTGAGGTCGGTTTGAACTTTCGAATAGATTAAGAACATGCAAAAAAATATGTATATGATATAGATAGACAGAATGAAGATCAAACAATAACAAGAATATGTATATGAGAAAAACAAGAGTTAGATTATCTTGTAACATTCACTCTTCACATATAAGAGAAATGATCTTGTTAATGAGGTTATACTGTATTTGCACACTATTGCCAGAGCCAGATGTTCTCATTCTGAATTCAATCATTCGAATAGGCGTGCATGGAATGACGAGAGGAAATAATTAGACAGAAGAAGGTGGTTGTATATATGACTAACAAACAAATCATTAGTCTGCTCGTCATACTACCTTATGCAAAAAAAAAAAAAAAGAAATGATGAACAGGCGGTGACTGACCAGTGCCCAGCGACTGATGACATGATTTATGGGTAGTCATTTGGTGTTGGCGGCAACAGTAACCGATGTACAACTGTGTGTGCATGTGACCAGAAAAACAATTAGACAATAGTCGAACGAGACAGTAATAGAAAAGACGGATTACTAAAATAAAAAAAAAATGAAAGACAGAAAGTGAATGAGTATGTATGCTAAGCTGCTATTGCCATTTTCATCAGACAACACATTGACTATTATGATTTTGAATAGAACTTGTGAACAAAAAAAGAATGACAATCGGGAATTGTCTCGAGCTAGAGATAAGACTTAAAATTGATGAAATCGTTTTTTTTTGTTAATCTAAGAAAATATGATTAACTATAATTAACACATATTAAAGTTTTTCTTTCTAATCGAAAAGAAAAACTGAGTGAACACATTTTAAATGATAGTACATATAAATATAAAATTCAAAATCAATATTTGATGAAACCCTTTCATTCTTTTTGCCTATGTATCAAAATCTATTCACTGTATCATAAAACAGAAAAGAAAACTTAAAGAGTAAACTCATTTGTTTCGATCTCTTCCGATCTTTTTTTTCTTCTTTAACAAATACTTGATCTTGAACTATGTATATATGTATATATATATATTTATTGTCTTCATGTATTCAAACTGAAGGTCAAACGGACAATTTTTTAAGAATGTGAGAGAATGTCTACGTAATTGTACTTATCAATACACATCTATTGCTTATTGCGTATATAATGCAAACATAACTATTTCGATCAGTGAACATTTGTCACGCACATAAACATACATACATACATACACGTATATATATATATATATATTATATGCAACGGGCGTCACAAAAGAACTCTAATCATGGTGCAATGAAATAGAAAATAAAATTTCTATCATATACTTAAGTAACTCTATAATAATGATGATGATGTCACCAAATGAAAATTATTTTTTTAACCATTTTTTTTCTTCTCCGGATATATATATAAATGACATTCTTAATCATTATAGTTGTAGGATGTTCAAGTGAATATACATATATGTCGCATAACGATCAATCCTTGTCAATGTTAATGACAACTACGCATGCTTGGTGATGACCCTGACGACTTTCTATCCAGTACACGCAAAACAATGTTTACACCTGATGATATCAGATGTGCGAAGGTTAAAATCGTCTTCAAGCAAGATTAACTGATATGTATAAAACTTTCTTTCATCGATTTGTCTCAATAAATCATGAAAAGAAAACATGACAATCATTATTTGTTATTTCATCTTTAAATGATTTCCTGTCTAAATGATCAAATTGGTTTTGCAGCTGTTTAGATGTCTATATGTGTTCATAAAATAAATAAACAAAAAAGAAACGAGAGGAAGACAAGCGATGCCAATTAAATTTGGTGTGAATAGAAAAAATAAAAGGCTAATCACATACATTTAGAAGCCCGTTAGCAATATAGAACACATATGTTGTTATCGTATGCATATACGTCAAAGAATAAGAAAAATGATTTCCGTTTGGATATAAAACAAATAGCAAATCACTTTTACTTTCAATCCGGAAATAAAGCTTAAAAAGAGAAAAAAAAATGAAAGGAAAGATCATACCTAATTATCAACACGAACAAAACGTTTGATATCAAAAAACTTGAGACAATTGTCGTTTATTACTTTCTTTGTTCGTTTTAAAACATAGGGAATCATGACACGTGTGTATATATGCTATCAATGTTAATCGTATCGTGTGTGTGTGTGTGCGTATATATACTCACTTGTATGTGTAAAATGGGCACGCGTTGATGTGAAGAAAGAGACAGAAAGGGAGAGAAGAGAGAAATGCTCAACATATATATGTTTGGCACCGAAACGTTCACTCGGTCGCTCGTCGACAAGCTCTGAACGATAAGAAAAAGAAAACGGATGCTCGTAAAGCAAAAGGAGGATTTTTTTATTCACATACAAAAACGAGACAGAAAGAGAGAGAGAGAGACAGAGAGAAAAAGGAAAAGATCGGGAAGAAAGATGCAAAAGAAACGGGAATGAGACCATTGCGTAATAGAGAACTACCACAAACTACTACCGTGTGCTGTCAAAGTGATTAATCATCATCGTTTCCTGGCATACTCTACACACACACACAAAAGAAACCAAATGAGAAAAGTTAGAACGAGAATGAGAAAAGTGTGTAAGGCGTGTCAGATATCGAAAGTTTACATTCTTTTTTTCCTCTTTGGATAACCTTGATTCATCCCAATTAATCGATATATTCTTTTCATAAGAGACTCAATATGTGCCTATAAATAGTTAGTAGACAACATAAAACGGAAGTATGGTTTGTGCGTGCATATGCTCAACCTTGACTAGGTGTCACTTCAGGACGGAATCATTCGACAGACAAACAGACGGATGCATTGTCATTCTCATGATAATTATGTCTCATTGAAGAACAAGGAAAAAAAAGAACCCGGAAGTATATATATTTATGTGTATATAGTCATGAAGCACGATCTAAAATGCCTAAACCATAATAGTTTGCATTTTATAACTTGTAATATGGCTTTGTATATGCAAGCGCATGCGTGCATACGATGATAATATTACACAATGTATTTTACGACCGAAAGAAAGGCCTCTAAGGATCTATTAGAAAAAGTTTGATGTCTCGAAAAATCCAATTTGTATCGACAAGATGAGAACAACCATGTTACTTGTCATTGACTTGCGCAAAGTACGTGATTTGTTGGATGTAAACGAGAAAAAAAAGATAAAAAAAAAAAAAACTACAAGGAAATTGATGGACGGCATAGACAAAGTTGTGCGTAAGATTAATGTGCGTGACAAGTTCGATGTTGCTGTTACTCTTTTGACTGACAATGATGACAAGGCGCTAGACTAATTAACCAATAAATGAAAATGAACAAAAAATAAAAAGATCGGCGACCACTATTTCCTGTTGGATTATCATGACTCGAGGTCATGATTGACCTTTTTCTTTTTTTTTAAGCAAATTAAAATCAATCATTTCATTCACGACATATGCATATGTATATATATATATATATATAATTCAGACATTTTCAATTAATGAGATTTAAATGCAAGATTATTATGATACAATCTTTTTATTTATTGGTTTTCTTTTTTTATGTTTATAATAGAAATTATTTTTTGATGATATTATATCAGATTTAAGTAGGCTAAAGAACTTTCTTATCCGATGTCTATGATTATTCTCGAGGAAACTTTCACTTGGATAATATTTCTATTTATGAATATAATTCTTTAATGACTAGTTGTATTATGATTAGAATATCATAAATATAAAAACAAGTTAATGAGTGGTTAAAGTAGCTTTTTAAATCGATTAAAAACAAAACAGCGTAATTTTCATCTTACCTCGTCATATAAATATTCGAAAAAAGATCCTTGAATAGTCCAGACATATACGACACGATGATATATGCATAGTAAATTGTATATATATGCATTGTGTCTCTCATTTTTATTTTGTCACACTCTCAACTTGAATTTGCTTAAGGGCAACTATAACAACAATGTATGAACATTGCTGATGACGATAACGACAACAAGAACGATGATGTTGATGATGACTTTGATTGTAATTTTAATGTATGTGCGAAAGACCTCCATATGGCCTCATCATCAGACAAGAAAAAAACAAGAAGACAGAATGGCGACGTGTGACAAATAGACTTAAAGCAAACGGACAGAAAGAAAATTCAATTAACGCCTGCCTTTCGATGACTGACCGATAGTAGATAGACAATGTCATGTCGTGCCTTTCTTTTCTTTTTTTTTCATGGATAGATTTTGTTATATATATATATCCAACATATAATGTTATTGTCCGTTGTCGTTTTTGTTTTCATTCTCGTGTTCAATCAATGTCTCATTCAATTCAACCCACACAAAAAAACTAGTTAACGTTATACGAAAGAATCAATTGATGATATCTTATCATTGTCAAGGCAGAATAGTAAATCTATTATATATGTACAATTTTTGTCTATAATGAAGAAAAATGTCAGCTGTCATCAGCATATCATTTATAAGACATTCGTAAAAAGAAAAGAAAAAGAAACTCTATTGTATATCAACAATCAACATACTCTTTCGACATAGATTCACTATCGTTATAATACAAAAGACAATCAAGTAAAGAAGATGTATAGACAAAAATTATTTTTTGTCTCTATTTTATTATTTATTTCAATAGCTGCACAAGATGATAAGAAAAAAACATGTATACAGAATTTGGTTGTGAATGGAACAAATTTGATTGCACTTTATCGAAAACAATTACTTGTATTGGGTATTACAAATTTTAATAATCCGTCATCTCGAATTCAAGCTAATAGGTAATAATTAAATATATATGTTCGAAAATTTAGTAATGATGAATTTCTGGACAATTTATATGTATAAATGTTTTGAGTTTCATTCAAGCACAATCGAATAATAGTATAACTGAATTACATAATATTTTACAGTCACTTGATTACATGTAATTTTTTTTCCACATTATAAACACTCAAACTTGTTTACCATAATACTCTTTGAATATCTTTCTTTCTGTTTTTTAAATAGATTTAATGATTTGTATCGTGAACTTCAACGTGATGGTTTACGTGATTCAATTGTACGTATTATTCTTGTTAATGAAGCTGATGCTGCAAATCAATTATCTGGAAATTATTATGATCAAATTCGTGTATTTCAAGATAATTCAAAAGATCATTTAATTAAAAAATTACGTAATCATGGACAAACATTAGATAATTTTGTATTTGGAAGGTACAAAATATCTTTTTTTTTTAATTTGATAATTAAAATATAAACCTTGTTTTTCGTAATATTTAGATGTGGCTATCTTGGATTTACACAAGAACCGCCCAATTCAAATCTTGAAGATAGAAAAAACTATCGAGAACTTCTTCAACATATAAAAACAGCAGTAAAGCATAAACGACGTTGTCAAAGATTATGTAGTTAAAATCACAAAAAAAAAGAAAAATAAATATAAAAACATTTTCACAGAACATGTTATATGGTTTTTTTTTGTTTGTTTTTCATTTTGACGCTAGAATTGAAGATTTAGACTGTTGGTTTTTTTCACATAGGATTTTTTTATTCAATAAAAGACATTGATATAATTTTACACATGAAATGTAAATTTATTTCGATTAAGTTTTGAAATAAAAAAACAAGAGATCTAGTTATGATGTTGCTAATTAAATTAAAGATAATGTCAATACGTATGACTTTGCAATTCATTTATAAATACAGACAAATTCAACACTATTTATTAGGTTTCTTCTTCATTTTGATTGAAGGTATTGTGTCATTAATATTCTGAATAATTAAGCAATTTTATAAAAAAAAATTTTTTTCTCTGAAAAAATACTAGATTATTTATATTTCCATCTATTTGATTAATATCAGACATACAAAATTTGAAGTTCTTCTATTCGATTAGAACTTTTATCAAAACTTGTAATCGTATTAATTCAACTGTGAAAGAATAATAATTTCTTTCATTCTCTTTATGTAGGAGTAATAGAAACATGAATGAACATAATGTTGATGAAGTAATCGGCTTCCTTCCTATTACATAACCATTAACCATTATCTTGCCTATGTTAGAGAGTTACCTTGGAAGACTTTTTTTTGTCGTTATTCTTTCACACCTATAGTGATCTTTTTTTTGATCTTTTTATTAAAATAAAGAGAGAGAATAAATTCAACAATATCTTAATTTGAACTTGGCCATATTTGTTCACTCTATTCTAGTTACTGTGTACATATGTTTATTATGAGAAGACAATTGCTTCATAAATATATATGCTCACGCGTGCTATCATTAAGAAAAAAAAATTGAATGAGGTCAACGCACACAATACGGACAAAAAAAAACAAGCGAAAGGAGAAATAAATCATGAGAAGTTTCTTCAATAGAAAACGAAGAAACAAATGCACACTAAGTTATACAACAATAAGCAAAAGAAAAAAGAAAAGTCAATCAGAACATCTTTTCTTTAAATCAGAAACAACAAAAAAACAAATTCTTTGAGCTTATCTATTAGTTAATCATTTTTGACTAGAGATTGGTCTAGACACTAGTCTGTTGTTTTGCGTTTTGTTTTTCATTAGAGATTAATACACACATGCACACAAAAGCAACAATATACAACAACAAATGCTGAGCTACACACGTACAAGAAAGAAAAAGAAGACATGAGGGTATTATATACGACAAGAATTTTTCTACAAAACCATAAAGAAAAAGAAATTTAAGAGAAGACCATGACAACACTAGATAATAATTCGAAGTATATATAACTGTTTATTTAAGGTTTATCTTTGTTAGTAGCTTCTTTTTTTTCTTTACGTTTTTTAAGAAATGATGGTGTTCGAAATTTTGATTTCTTTTCTTTTTTTGTTTCATCGCCACCACCTTTACTACCACTTGTACGTGTTGGTGAAACCTATATAATAAAAAATCAAATCTCAAATTAATTGAACACAATAAATTCTTTTTTTTTCGATAAAAGAAGAATTTTCTTTTTTTTTCTTCACATGCCACCAATAAAGTACATATGTGCACGATGTGTAATTCATTTAACAAAAAAATTTTATAGGAACACCCGAAATGACAATCACATAAGGTTCGGTATTTTTTCATTTTAGGATAAAAGAAATATATATAAAAGCAGCCAAGAAATAAGTGATATGTAAGTGCATATTGATATGTACTGACCAAACTCTGAGCTCGTACCACTGATGATGATGTAGTAGATGGTTGCTGTAGATAAGAATATATGTTTTTATTAAAATCTTACTCGATTTGTTTTTGAAATAGTTATTTTACAGTGACTTGAAAAAAAACAAAAATTAAAAATTAAAACATACCTCTCGACTTGATGCAGCCGATGATGATGTTGCAGATTTCAATGTATCTGATTTAGTTGTTGTTACTTCTATCAAATCAAAAAAAATATAATCAATTATATAATAATAGTTCATCAGAATATTTAAACGAAAACCACAACACACATGTTTAAATTAAAACAAAAAAAAGAGCATACTTGCAGCAGCACTAGCACTTCGTGAAAAGGTCCCTCGACTTTCACTTTCTTCATCATTACCTAAAGAAAAAATACCATGCATACATGCGCAATGTCATGCAACATTCTTTCTTCTCATTAATTCACATACTCTGTCCAGATAAAGTAGCACTTCGAGGTAATGTCACCGTTTTTTCCGGTGATGCAGAGATTTGACCACTAGCGCCATTAGTTGTTCGACCTGGATATGTTATTAAAAAAAATTAGTCATCAATATTTGCATTAGCGTAAAAAAATCAATGATAAAATGTGTTTCTGTTTCTCCCTCCCTCTCTCTCTCGCTCTCTCTCCCCGTTCCTTTCTCTTTTGACATTATCAAATAAATTGAGAAGCACCTGAAAATAAATAGTCATTTTCAAGCTGTAAATGTTATATGAATAGCCTTGAATACTAATGTTAACCTTGAAAATATGTAAAAAGACGAAAAAAAATAGAACGCATCATAAGTGACAGTAAAAAAGATGTATATAGCGTTTATATAATTATGTGTTTCTTTGTGATAAAAGACGAAAAAAAAATGAGAAATGGCGACGATGGCCTTCAGCGAGATTACGCACTCTGTTTTGGACAAATGTGAATGTTAAAAATGGCACGACGTGTAGAATTAAATGTCGAAAAAAACGAAGAAATGAAATGACGCATACTAAGATAAAGACTATAATATGAATAAAAATCGCGAACGGAAATGATAGCATAAAAAAATTCAAACTATGATAAATGAGAAATAAAAAAAAAAGGGCAGAATCTTATGTACAGACTAAGATATACTGTTCACACTATTGATTTACGGAAAAAAGAAAAAAAAACCAAAACGAAATAGAGAAAAATATGTTAGACCGGACCGCGTACAACAGGTCGGCCATAATTTTCATCAGTGAGACTACTTAATGGGTTTGTTGTTATTATTGTTGTTGTTGTTGTACGATTTCTATCATTACGTGGTGGTGGAGTATTATCAAAAACAGTACGACGTGATGGTAATGTATTAGCAATAATCATATCTGAGCCAAGACTTGATGTTGATGGACTACGTTCAACAAATTTCGATGTTGTTATTGGTGGTTGTGAAGAAGAATTTTGACGATTTTGATATATAACAGGTCGACGTTCGTCATCATATGTATTTGTTGTACCATTTTGTATATTATAATACGTATGTGGTGAAACAATACGTCGTCGATTATCATTCTCAATAAATTGATCATCGAAATCTTCATCAAGATCTTCTTCATCATTATCATTCTCAACAAGATTTGTTGCACTACCACTCGTTCTTGTTGCTATATTACTAAAACGAGATGGTACTTCACCTGGTGGTTCTTCACTTTCTCGTACAAGTTGTTCGGCTTCAGCTCTTGGCATTTTATTACTTAAATATTCAAGATATTCATCATTATTCGAGAATTTTAACATACGACGAACAGTACGTGATGAAACATCTGGATGTTCAGCTGATAAATATTGTGCAAGATTTTCATAATAAACTTCACCGTCACCTTTTTTATGAACATATACAGGTGCTTCACGTAATGTTATATCTCGATAATGATGAGGAGCAATTAATTGTGGCCGTGTTGGTCGTACAGGGTAACGACTTGGTAACATCATAACATAAGCTGGATCCGTACCAAGTACAGCATCATGTTCATACATATATTGTACATAAAAACGTGTTTTACGATTTGATGATAACATTGTTTCATCATCTGGCATAACAAGTATACGTGGTTTAGGACATAATTTTGTTTGTGTTTGTGCACGATCATTTTCTAATTGTGTTAAATATAAATTATCATTTAATTTACCACGATTTAACATTTCAGGATGTAAACGTGCTAAATCACTTATAGTTACAGCTTTTTTTGGATCATTTTCAACATAACCTAATATATCTAAATATGGTGCAACATTACGTATAGTTCGTACTTCACAATTAACACCATGTTTATGTGCTTGTTTTTGCCATGATAATGGATAATTATCTAAATTTAAATATCTCGCATCACCACGACCATCTTTTGTATAGAGCATTTGTTGATCATCAGTAAACCATGGATGTCCAATAGTTGATGTTGATAAACTACCAACAGATTTTGATAAACGTAATAATGGTAGTAATGCTGGTCCATTTGGTTGACGATTATGACGACCAGCTAATGTCATTGAACCATTTAAACCTGTTTGTACTAAATCTTGATCACTTATAGGAATATCATTTTCTTTATCAATTATTTCACGATGTAATTGATTAGCACGATCAATTAATTCTTTAGGTAATTCAAATGAACTTTTACCTATTGTTATTATTAAACCACCAGCTTTATTTGATTGTACTTTACCAATACGATCAATTAAACGTGCTATTATTGTACCTGTACGATGTGGTGATGTATTGATTGTTTCAATAGCATTAATAGCTTCAATACGTGGTACAACTATTTCATGTTCATCCATTTTAATAACTAGACGACCACGATCATCTTGATAAATTGAACCAGCACGATATATATAATTAGCAAGCATGAGTAATGGATCAATAGCATAACCATTTGATGCATCCGGTGGTTGTACATTTAATGTTGATGTTGATGATGTTTTTGTTATTTGTCTTAATGATTTATTAAATGGAAAAAGTAATTTTAATTTTGGATCAATTGTTGATTTTACTGGTGTTATTGTTGAAATTTGTCTTGATGACATTAATTGTTTTTGTTGTTGTAAACGTAATGTTTGATTACCAAGTGTTATAACTAAATATTTTCCATCTTGTTCTTCATGTATATCATCAGCATATGTAACAAGTAATTCAGCTATTGTTCGTCCATTAACAACACCAATTAATTGTGAACCAATATCACTTGGTATAATAAAACGTTCACCATTTCTTAATGATATTATTATTTGTCTATCAGCACGTTGTAAAAATCTTCCATTTAATGATAATATTTCACCTAATACACGTATAATACGTTGTTCATTTGTTTCATCAAATACAGTATTCCAATCACGTATAAATGTAGTAAAACGATATATACGTCCATCATGATAATGACGATATTCAATATCTGTACGATCAGAACTTAATGCAAAACGACCATGACTAACTAAATAATCAATTAATGTGTGTTTTGTAACAGGCAATTGAGGATTATTAATAACCATCTGTTGTTGTTTATCTGGTGTCATTGATAGAATAAGTGTACGTGTATCATCATCAATATTAATACAACCTAATTGATCAAGTCTTTCGAGTAGATGATTAGCACAACGTATTTGATTATCAGGTGTTGATAAATCAGTTTTTGATAATAATGATTGATCTTTTGATGTTAAACCAAAACGTTGTACTATAGCTGATAATGTTGATTGTGATGATGATTGTGTTTGATTTGGATTTATTAATGGCAAATTATAAACTTTATTTTTATGTGTTAATTGTATATAACCATCACGTGTATTACTTATTGTATCGGAATTTTTTAATAACCATTTTGATAATTGTTGACTTTGAAATGGTAATTGATTTTCATTTGTTGAATTTAATATACGTGTATCAACAATTGAACGTAACTGATCCATGGGTATTGTTAATGTTTGATTTGAAAAGTGTAATTGAATTAATTTTAAACGCCTATTACATGTTATTAAATCATGATGATACATATAATTAATTGTTGCATGATAACGTTCAAAAAATTCATTTTCAGTTTCTTGTGCTAAACGAGCACGAAAATCTTTATCATCTTCATTATTTGTTGATGATGTTGTACGTCCAAATCGTTGACCTAATGAACGTAATACATTTGCTTTGTTTGTTGCTGTTGATGATTGTGGAATAATTGATGATGGAAATTGAACATATTGATTATTATAATATAATAACCAATTACCAAATTCATCTTGTTTTATTTGACCATGTTTATTAAGTAAATGAATAACATCTTGTCGTCGATATTTATTTTGATGTATAAATTGACTATGTTCAGGTGTTAAATATAATTGTGAACCATCTGTTGCATTTTCTAATAATAATAAATTATTTGTATTATCACGTTTTATACCATCTTGTTTATTGATTATTTCAACATAACTTTCAATAAGATTTTGTTTTTCTTTTGTTGATAATTTCAATGTTTGAAGATTTGTTGTTGGAATTGTTGATGATGTTGATGATATACGTGGAACTTGTAATGAATAATTTTGACCATTGAATACAAATGTATCATGATCAATAGTACCACCATTAGCAAGTAACATATCAATAATATAAGAACGATCAAAACGATGAGCTTCAGCTTGACGATACCAACGTGATGGTAATTGTAGACGATGATTTCGATCATGAAGAAATTCAAGTTCAATACGTTTTTTATCTTCATCAACATGAATATGACGAATATGTGATGAAAGAATTTGACGTTGACCAATACGTTCAGGTGAATTAATCTCATCATCTAATGGTATATCAGGTTGTACATAACGATATGCATAATTTCCTGTATCAATATCATATCGAACAGTTCCATTTTCAAATAGATAATTTGCAATGGCATTTCGATCATTTGTCGGTGGCATATGTTCAAAGGGTAATCGAAGTACTTGTGTATGTTCTCCATCAAATAAATCAACTTCTGTTTCACGATTTTGTTCATGAATTCTTACACCACGTACAATTGATCTTAACCAAATTAATTCATTTCTATCTAATGCAATACGTTGTGTACCGTATGTTAAATGTCCAGATGAATATTGAACATAATTATATAAAAGTAATATTCGTGCAATATCATTCATAACAATAACTTCAGGTTCATCTATTGTTTTTGATGTATTAAGTTTATTTTCCATATATTTATCAACATCATCATGATTAATAAGTATTTGTTGTTGTTGATCATCTTCACCGTTTGGAAGTATAACAATATCATTTTGTTCAGTGATTGTTATGAAATTTTGTCGATTTAATTGATCAAGCCATTGTGTTAATATATTAACTTGTTCTTCATCAATTGCTTTTACTGATGAATCTAATGATGATGTTTTATTTGATGTTAATCGAAGTTTTTTTGCTGTTGGTTGTAAAAATTTTTGTGTCAAGTTCTTTATTTTCAACATTTGATTATGATAATAAATAAGTATATATTGTTTTGCTTTATCAAATTCAATTCGATCAAATATAAAATCAATTAAATATTGTGCACAAGCTTCAATATCTAAATCAAGTTCTTCATAAAGAATTTTTGTATCGTTTTCATTAAATTCTATTTGTTGTTGTTGTTGTGAAAATGGTGAATTATCAGTTAACGAAAGCCTTAAGCGACGACCTTGAATGAGTTCTAGCGTGCCAACATTACTACCATTTGCATTGACAAAGTGCAGTAGTGAAAAAATACTTTCAAGGAATAATGCTCGTTCTTCATCACTCTCGTTAGTTTTTATTTTTTTCTGTTCTTCTCGTTCGAGTAAAGGAGAAGTAGAGGTAGAATGTTGGTAATGATATTCTTTTTCTTTTTTTTCTTGTTCGTTGTCGTTTTGAGTTTGCTGATGAAAAGGAATAAAAACGACCAAAGGTTTTTCTTCTTTTTCTTCTTCGAACATATTTCTATTTTTTTGATTGGTAGATTTTATTTTTTCTCGAGTTTTTTCATTCTCGCCCAAAGGTAAATTATCAATCTCGATGTTTTTATTTGGTTTTATTATCATACGTAAAGAATTGTCTATTCGATCTATTTGTACATGTTTTTTATGCCAATCTAATAGATCATTCATTTGTAAAGTTTGACGACGTAAAAGATTTGATAAACGTATACCATCTTGTCCTGTTATACGTATTAAATAATTAGGCATTGTACGATAACGTAAGAAAAATACTTGTCCTTGTTCACTTGACAAATCAACATTGTCAGATAACCATTGAAAAAGAATATCATCAAGAGCATTATCATTATCATTATCATTTTGTTCTTGAATAGTTGAAGAAGGTGTCAATCGTAAAATTTGTCCATTTAATGTTAATATAATTGATTGACCATCTTGATCTTCTTCTCGATCACATATATGTAAAAGTAGATCAGCTAATTGATTAGCATTTAATATTTCTCCTGATTGATTTTGTTGAAAAAGTTCATGAATATATTCATTTGGTATAATAAAATCTTCACCTAATATTAATGTTCCATTATTATTATCAAAATGTATATCATCTAATGAACGAAGAAGTTGAGCTAGACGTTCAATTAATTCAGGTGATGGAGATAATTCTGATCTTAATATACGTTGTACATCAAGTTCACTATGTCCTATATGTATAAATTGTTCATTAGCATCAAATGAAATATAACCTGTACGAATTAAATATTTTAATATTTCATTCCAATAAAGATTATCATTTGTTTGTAATTGATGAATTCGATATAAATCAATTATATGTAAACCTAATTTACCTGTTAATGGTATATTTAAACCATCAACATTCATTTCATTTCTATCAACTAAAAATGTTGTATGTTCAGCAAGCCATTCTTCAATAATAGGCATTAAATTTGTTGGTATACGTCGATTAACACGTTCAAGTTGTGCTATCCATTGAGCATTATGATATTTTTTTTTATAGAATAACCATCGATCAGCTGGTAAAATAATTGTATCACCATGTATAAATATAACTAATTCATCAGATTCGGTTTCAAATGGTGGTGGGTATTCATCAATAGCATCTAAATAAACATTTTTCGATATAATTAAATTATCATTTGATGGTAAACGTATATGTGACATTTGAATTTGTTGTCCATCAATAAACAAGATAAGTGTTCCATCATTACTACGTAAACGTTTGGCATGTGTTGAAAAATAATCATAAATAAATTGTTCATAACTTAATGGATCAAGTTCAGGTTCATTCATTTGTCGTATTAATTCCGGACGAAGATTTTCATAAATAGGCTGTTCACGTAATTGTATATCATTCGATGATATTATAGTAGAGCCTGATCCAGCAACTAAACCAGCGATACCACTACTTGTATCAATATGATGTGATATTGTTGGTTCTTCAATAATTGTACTTGGTTTTGGTCGAAATTGATTTGTGCGTTGATGTTGTTGCTGTTGTTGTTGTTGTGGTTCATCAGCTGAACTATAGCCTGATTCAATAATTGTCATTTGATTATCTAATTTTTTATTTAATAATGATGGTTGTTGTACAGTTGATGATGCAATAGATTCTTGTGAATCAATTCTTGTATAATTTGTATTTGGTGTTGAACCAATTATACTTATCGATGGTTGATTTTCATGTATTGTACTTGTTTCAATATATTTACCGATACTATTTGATGTTGTTATTGATTGTTTTTGTTGTTGTTGTTGCCATGCTCCAGCACCACTTATACTTATAGTTGAACCAGGATCATTTATAGTTGATTGAAAATGTTTTTTATCATCAATTAATTTTTGATTATTTGATGATGATAATGTTGATAAATTATTTTCTTGTGAAGAATTTTGTGAACGTATTCGTCGATTTGTATAATTGACTTTTGGTGTATTATCTTCTGAATCACCTTGATATGCTGAACGATCACTATGTTCATTTATTTGTGTATCACCACTATCTTGTCGTGAACGTGATTGTTGTTCAAGACGTTTTAATTGATCTTGTTGTGATGGTGTTAAACTACGCCAAAATGGTTCATTCCACTTCCATATATGATCTTTCTTAAAATAGAACAAAAAAAGGAGATTATTCATATTTTTGTTTAATCGATTATTTTTTTTACTTGTGAATAATGTCCAATATCATCAATAGATTTAATGCGTTTACGAACAATTTGTTGTACTTCATCAAGTTCAAATGGAAATGAAAATAATTGTGGTCGTCTTTGTTGTTGTTGTTGATGATGTTCTTCTTGAACACCAACTAGATCTTCCCATGTTAATGGATTAACAATTTTTGAATTATTTATTGATTGTTTTGCATCTTGAACTATTTGTATTGGTTCAGCATGATGTATAGTTGATGTTTTAGGTTGTTTAATACGAAAACGTATTTCATCACCATGTCTTGATGGTCTTTCTTCAGGCTCACTTCGTCGTATTTGTCCTGTGGGACTATTTAATGTTGATGAATCTGATGAACGACTACCTTGTTGTTCAAATAATGAACGAAGTGCATCAACACGACCAGATATTGGTGTTGTTTTTTGAACATCAGAATTATTCATATGATCTTTCACCCATTTTGATTGATTTATTGGATGATGAGTATCAACAACAAGTTGGTAATCAAGTCTTTGTAATTGATCACGAACAAGACGAGGATCAACATCTGATGTTGTTGTTGTTGATGAGGATGAAGGAGCAGGAGGAGGAGGAGGTTGTGATGGTGGTGGTGGCGGTACAACTTTTGGTCTTGTCAGCATAACTTCATTAAGATTTGTTAATCCACTTGTTCGTTGTAAACGTCCGGATATTGGTTCTCTATTGCTTGAGGTTGTTGTAGTTGTTGTTGTTGTTGTTGTATCATCTTCGTCTAAATCCATATCAACTTTTTGTTCATTTTGTTGAGATGTATATGTTCGATTTGTACTTGTTCGAGGTGTTACAGCAGGTGCAGAAACAGTTGGAGGTGGTGGTGGTATAGGAACACTAGATTCTTCACTAAAACTATTTGTAGCTGATGGTGGTATAACACGAACTAATTGTTCAGCAAATTGAACACGTGGACGTCGTTGTTCATCACTTTCATCTAAAATAAATGATGTTTCAAATTGTGTATCAACTGGTGGACTATCGTGTGGTACAGGTGGCCAACTTGATATACGTGTTGTTTCATTTGTTGTGGTAGTTTGACGTGTATTTACAATAGGAGAATTATTTGTTGGTATTGAAGAAATATTTCTTGTTGCTGTTGTTGGCCAATCATGATTTGTAAATGAACCGGACATACTACTAGCTGATGAATGTGTATTTATATCATCACCACTTAAACGTGATGTACGATCAGAATCAAATTCTTCTGGTTGAAGCATTGTTTTCGATGGTATAGATGGAGGTGGTGGTGGTTGCTGCTGTGGTGGAGAAGATAATGGTTGAGCAATAATTGTTGTTATTGATGATGTACTTGTTGGTGATGATGAAGATGTTAATTTTTTTTGTTCTTGATTATTATCAACGTGTATAATATATTCTTCGTATGAATATCGTGATTCTTCAACAAGTTCACTTGGTGATTGTGGTGGTACGTCAGTTTCAGTAATTAATGATGAATTATTAGATAAATGTTGACTACCAGAATGTATTTTTAAACGTTGTTCATAAAGATGATTATTTGTACCAATTGTTTGTTGATTTGAATCAACAATTAATGTTGATCCATGTGTTGATAATTGTTTTAATGATAGTAATGGTGATGTTTGTGTTGATTTTGTTGTTGCTAATCGATCATATGTTGCACGAAATCTTATTGGTTGACGTTCTTGTTGTTCAATAAATATACAACTATCACGATTTGTACTACCAATAGGTTGATTTGTTATATTACGATTAAGATAATAAATAGATAAAAGTTGAGTTTCAGCAAATGATGGAATAGATTTTGAATGATATGATTGATTAAGAAAATTTTCCTGAGTATTTGTTTGTGTAGCAATTGTTGATTGAGCAGTTGTCATCAACGATGTTGATGACGATGAAATATTACTGAAGGGTAATTGATATTCACTTGTTTGTTGAGAACTTTGAATTTTAATATGAGATAAGGATGAGTCACTTGAATCACCTGAAGATGAGTTTAGATGTTCACGTCGTCGTGTTGTTCGTTTTGAACGACGAATTGATTGTTGATGCATTTACACTTAAAGAAAAATAAAATTTATAAATACAAATTTCATGTTTTTTTCTCTCTTTATTGTTTTTTTTTTTTTCTTAGTTAAGAAATGAAAATATTGATACAATACCTCCATTTTAGCATTCTTTAATAGCCTTGAACTCTTTTTATAACATTGGTAATACTACTTATTTCAATCATCATCATCATCTCACACGTTTGGTCAAAATGTATGCATATGTACCCTTACTTGCTTCTTTCGTCTTTTTCTTTCTTTTTCTTCTCTTATTCGATGTATAAAAACGAATTTTTCTGTTTTGTTTTTTTTCACTTTTATATTTACCTGAGTACGTTCGTTCTTTTTCTTCCTTCGTTCTTTTCTCTTTAAAGTAGAACTAACTCAACACGAACATCGACGAGATTAGTTCACTCAATTCTTTTTCTTCTCATTATTATGCCTGAGGAAGAAAAAGAGAAAAAAAAAAAAAACTAGAGAGTAGTAGTCATGTCGGCATCGTTAGTCATCACTGCATCATGTCAAAATGAGATGCAGAGACGAATACACATCATGATTGTGATTTTTTTTATTGCGCTAGAGTGAAGAAGGCATACATTTATAATGCATTTGGCAACGTTTGAAGTGCCAGAGGAACGTGCGCAATTGAATTAATTAAATAACAAATATGAATACAATTACTCATCGAATAACTTGATCAATTCGTATAACGAAAAAAAAACAATAACAACTGTTCAATTAAAGATCAATGTCAAAAATAAAAAAAAAACAGCACACTCAATTAAATCTATAAGATTTCTTATTAATCATAAAAACTAACAGAATTCTTCAGATATAGTATCAACTTATAGCTTTATTTTTTTTTTCTATGATAACTATCATTATTATTGAGACGAAAGAAGAGGAAAAAAATGAAACCTTCAACTAACCGGCCAACTACTCATACATCTTTCGCCCACACCCGTGTTGTAAAGTAAATAGTAGTAAATCGCATACATATATATATATGTGTTCGGTCATATTAAACTGAAGAACGAAAGGGAAAGTTTCAATTTACTTTTTTGTTAGTGTATGATACTTGACATTTTGTCTTTATAAAAAAAAAAAAGAATGATTATGATCATTATCTTTTCCTTTTTTTTTTTATTTTACTTTAATGTCTAAAGTGTTCCTTTTTACACTTCGTAAAAGACATGTGACATATTTCTTACCTTTCTTTTTATTGATATTTGTTGTTGGATATTGACTTCATTTGTATAAAGATCTATTGGATGATTTGACCAAAATTGTTGAATAATAAGAACAGTATACGGTGTAGCAGATGGCGGTCAAACAAAATGACACTTTTCTCGAGCGAACACAAACGCACAAAAGTTGAAAGAAGAAGAAAATGAGAGAAACAAAGAAAAAAAAAGAAGTAGAAGAAGAACAACAGACATAAATTTATAAGCGCACCGATAGAAACCAACAGTACATCATTATGTTCTGTCTATATATACGTATTTTTTTCAAAACTGCCAGTCTATATACGTCTGGCTGATATGCACGATTAATAATCATGATGAATGATTTTAATTCGAGAGAGAGAAAGATTATTTCCTATCGACTGAATACAATTTACTTACCTCGACCAGTAGTACTAATATTATGGCTGTCGACTTGATCATCATATTGAGAATCACCTCCTATATATATATACATAAATAAATGATATTAATATCAATTAAGAGAAAAAAGAAAAAGCAAAACCATAAGATAAATCATGCTTTTATAAAAAAAAAAATGCGATTGGATTACAAAGAGAATAAATCTTTACGTAATGTCTTCAAGATAGGTACTAAGCTGAAATTTATTAATGCACCTTGCTTGACAAATATATGTCATATTGTTGAAAGAGGAAATTTACTATTCTTATTTAAGCAGGAAAAATCAATAAAACCATGCTTAGTAACTTAAAACAAGAGAGAAAAAAAGAATTAAATATTTTCACACTCTGTTTAGTAAAATTAGTAGATTTGCTCTGTAAGTTTTTGCTCCCTAAGACATAATATATGTGATAGCAATAGGCAATTATAAGTTTGTCTTTTTTTTTTGTTTTTAATATACCCTTTCTAATTTCATCGAGTAGAGCATTTTTCTTCAGTGCTGAATTTAAGAAGAAATTTTATTAAACAATTTTTTATTATTTTAAAACAAACCTTGTTCACGCATTTGATTTTGTTCAACTTCACGTTTATATTTTTCAATTTCATCATTATCCATATGTGTAAATGGATTTTGACCATAATATGATTTATAAACAATAGCATTATTTTGTTGATCACGTTTAATAATACCTTTTGATGCGGCACCAACAACAACAATTGGTTCTGATGATGTTTGATGAGGATCCTTCAAAAAAAAATTATTATCAATTAACAAAAACATATACACAAGAAAAAAAGAACAAAAAAAAGTGTTTACTTTCATTTGGGAAACATCTTCCCAACCAACATTTTCAAGAATTTTAGATTGATAACCAGCAGATACTTTTTCATTAAAACGATCTTCTTTTATCTGTTTTTGATGAATTTTAAGTTCTTTTGGATCGACATTACTTGGTGCAAATTGATGTTTTGTATCGATTTTAATCGGTGTTGAATGTTTTAAACCTGTGTCTGGTACCCACTGAAAAATTTATATTCAATCATATTGTACTCAAATGTTTCTATCATATTAATGACATTTAGCATTAATTATTTTGAAAAAATTATTATCATGATGATATACATCTGTTATCTCAAGATCGAATTTCTTTTAAACTATAGTATTTCTTCATCAATCGGAATCAAATTTCTAACAAGTCAATTTTTATTATCTAACTGCATCCTTCTATTGGACAGTATCTCAATAATTATCCTGTATTCTGGATATCATAGAATTGTCAAGAAAAAGAAAAAAACAACATGATCGAGAATTGTCCTGTATCTATCTCATGAGATTAAATATTCGTTGTTCGAATTGAGATCAATATTGATCTTAAATATCCATAGAACATAAGTTTTAGATTTTCTTCTTTTCATAATATCGATTTAACATACAAACAAAACAAAAACTAAAATAATCTACCTTAGTAACTTTCTTTGGATTCGGTGTTCCGGTTTCTTCAATTTCTTGTTTTAAATAAGCATTTGGTGAATTACGCCATTCAGTTGTACGTTGAGTTTGACGTGATGGTGAACTAATACAAACAACATTTAAGTTTTTTTTTTCTCTTTTTTTCTCCTCTTCACTTAAAGAAAGAATCACAATCGATATTAATAACTTACTAAGCTTCAGATTGTGTTTGTCCAGCATCAACAAATGATGTTGCTGATGAGGCAGCTGGTGGTACTTCAACATCTTTAAATGTTGCACTTTTATCAATTGTACGTATTAATGGTTGACGATAAACATAACCCGTACGAAAACCAGCATTATCCAAAATACGCATTAAACATTCAAATTCAATTTCACCTATTTTCCATTTTTTATCTTCAGTTGCTTCATTTATATTACCTTGAAGTACATCAGCAATCTAAAAATAGAATTGATTTTGTTTTCTGAATGTTTTTTTTTCAAAACCAAACAAAAAAGAAGAAGAAGAAGAATTTGTTTACTCGTTTTTGTTGTTCATTCGATGGTAAATATAATTGATCAATACCAATAGGTGCGGCACGTACTTGTACTTCACAAGCATTGATAACATTAAATGCATATTTCCATGCTTCTTCAATTGTTTCACCACATGCAACAAAACCATGATTACGTAATATCATTACTTTATTTATTGGACCTAAATCCTCGACGAGTAGTTTTTTAACATCATCTTCAATTAATATTCCACGATAATCATGATAAGATATTTTACCACAAAATAATGCATCTTGTGATAATGGTAAAAGACCACATTTCATAGCTGATACAGCAGCAACTGCTGGTGTATGTAAATGTACAATACACTTTATATCCGGTCGAGCTTTATGAATAGCTGAATGAAGTGTATAACCAGCACGATTTATTCCATATGTTGTACTACCCGGATCAATAATATTTCCTAAAATAAGAAAACAAAATTTATAATAAAATAATATTTAAATATGATTATTATCCTACCAGCAATATCAACTTTAACTAAACTTGAACCTGTTACTTCATGATACATCATACCAAATGGATTAATTAAAAAATGTTCTTGTTCTTGATTAACACGAGCCTGCAAAAAAAAACGACGAAAAAATTATTGTTCAATCGTTTTAAGTACTTTGTATCAGATATTTAACTAAATATTTATTTAGCAAATGATCTTCACATTATGAAAACAAGCGAGGAATTGATATCGTAAAATAATCAGTATACATAGTTCGATTTAAGAGACGATATCATTTCTTGAAATTGCTGATCTAATATCGAAAGTTACGCGTCATTCATGTAGTCTTCTGAACGGTTACAAATCCTCGCATCGAAGCTAATCAATATCCAGCGGATATTTTCACAGCCATAATACAGTTGTCAAGCTTTTACTTTACATAATAAAATATGCTGTTTAATTTCTACTAAAAACAGCAAATAAGTCAGAAATCATTTGATGTCTTTCTGCTTCTAAAATTTGATCAATATTGCTAAGCACATGTTTGCGTGTTACTGATGATACCGGAAAGGAACACTGTATTGATGTTAAACGTCATAATTGTAGATATATACATGAATGCTTTTTCTCGCACCATAATACATGTTCATTCGTTTGATAGTTTATTTTTCTCTCCAAGTATGTAATTACTTCTTTATATGTTTCATTATCATCAGTAAATGAGTTTTCATTAAAAACAAAGTCTCTTAGTAAAATAATTTTTCTTTTCACTTCTATGATCTATTCTCAAGTATAATAAGTTGCTTGATCATAGTGGAATCGATTTTCATTTCTATACTTTTTCATACATAGCAGTTTAAAAAAGTAAACATATTTTGAAACATCAAAATTTCATATCTTGGTAGATCGAATGCCGAGTACCCAACAGGCTCGGAGGATACTAAATCTGGACAGTTTGTTTTTTTTTCTAGCGCGTACTTTAAATGAAAGTATTCTATTAAGGTTTAGTTGTGAAAGCTTCCACTAAGATCCTACTCTGGCGACGAAGTAGGTGGTCGCCTATATTGGCATTTTCTTATTTCTTTTAGTTTTTGTGCATCTATCCCGCTGTGTTTTTTCTCTTTTTTTGTAATCATTTTTCATGCTCCTTATTCTAATGTATTTGTTTTATTTTATCTACGCTTGAGTTATCTGGCGTTTCACTTTCGCTCTTCAACCCTCCAAAAATTGATCGTAGACGAGGTCATGACATTTTCGGGATATTCTTTTTTTTTTTTTACTTGAAAGAACATGTTATATTGCAGTATCTGGCAGAGCCTTTTTTTTCTAAAACTCTTACTTTTTATGCGGAACAAAAGCATGGTAAACTCAATGCTTGGACAAACTCTCAAAAAATGGTCATCTATTTATAGAAGTGCTTTTTTTTTTTACATAATAATAAAAAATTTTAATTCAGAAAAAAGACTCGGTAGTTTCATATGGTATTTCAAGCAGAAATAAAGAGCATTCGACTACAATGAATCTCTTTCGAGAATATTAGAATGTGCAATCATAAAATGATTGTATTCAAGCAAATAATAACGGAAATAATCAAAAGCTCTGGCGAAAAACTAAGATACTAAATAAAACAAATCACACTGTTTATGAAAAATCTAGACTCGAAACATCGAGTAACAATATCTTCACAAAAGACGTAAATAGAATCCGTCATTTTTGATTCTGACCAAAAAAATCAACGTTCAGAATGAAAATATGTCGAAATTCAACACGAACCAAACTCAATATTTATATTTTTTTATTTATTTTAGGTTTTTAATGATTAAAATTAATTGATAAAAAAGAAGAAGCAATAACAGAATATACACTTGTATTATCTGGTAGATAATCTAGTTTTCTGTTTAAAACTTACCGTTATATGATTATAAATGCCTTGTGACCATCCAAATAAATCGATAAGTCGATAAAGTGATGCTAATTTACATCGAAGTAAACGTTCACTTTTAGAATAACTTGTTGAATCAACTCCACGTATATCATTAATTGGTACAATAACTGAACCGCCAGTACGTGATAATGATGATACTGTTGTCCAACGCGATGTATGTGGTAATAATAATTCGGATATTTGTTGTAATGCAATTAATGATGCTGGATGTGGTCCATGTTTTAATGCATCATTTATAATTGCTTCAAGTTCATCACGAAATTCTTTTGAATTTAATATTGTTTTAACACGTTGTCGTTGTCCCATTTGACGCATATCTTCTTTAACATCAGCTGGTCGTTCAAGTTCACGACGATTTTCATCATCATCATCTTGAATTTGTGTTTGATTTTTTACAGGTGATTCAGTATGAGTGCCATTTGTTGCTGTTGGCATTTTATTATATTATAAAAACAAAAAATTAATTTACTATCTAGAATACAAAAAAAAAAGATATTTTTATATATAATCAAAAAAAGATTTGATGTTTTTCTCCAAGAGATCAATACAGAAGAAAAATAAAATTGAACTTTGATTGATGTTTATGAAAAATATGTAATCACCAGGATAAACCTACAATAAAGACAAGAATAGATGTGATTATATAAAATGTAATTTGATGAAAGAAAAAAACTTTCAAATGTCAAATGCTAATTATATTGGCGTGTTATTCATAAGGCGAAACGAGTGAGACTGGAAGAAAACTAGTATGATTCGGATTCTTAGACCTTCCTTTTAGAATTACAATTGCAAATCATAAGTCTCAAAGTATTCGAAAAGTTTCAGTCGGAATCAAAGGTTTCTCTTCGAATCACTGAATCTTTGAAAATGGTATTATTTTAGAGAAAATTGACTTTTCTACACTATTTAACCTTTTGTTCGCAGATTTATTTTTCCAATTTGGTTGTGAATATAATTTACTTTAAAAATTATTGGCGATCATAATTCTTGCATTCAGACTTAATTAAAAGATGCAATACTGTGATCAGTGACATCTATATCAGAACACAAGAAAATATTGAGAAGATTTGTGTTACCATTTTTCAGTCTCGTCGTTAAAAGGCTAATATCTCAAGAAAGAAATTTCTATTTCGATTGAATTTTGTTTTAGAATATTCTAGAGATCATAAAATAATGATGATAAGTATAGTTTTAAATTAAAATACTCTACTATAAGCCATAATTTTAATAAAACGTGTATAACTGTAAAGCATCAAATTAATTGGCATTTGACACTTAAGAATGCTTTTTTTGTAAGATAATACATCGATATTAAACGAAATAAATTTCATTTAAAAAGTTCTTAATAATTAAATAGAGGAAGCGATTTATCTTGAGAATGTATTAAAAAAAATGCAATATTTTACTAAACCTACCTATAGAAATCTATCTATTTAATACATTCATTTATTCACATGCTGATCTAGTATAATGAAAAAGAATCAGAAATCTCTAAAACTAAATGTATAAAGTCATTAACAAAAAAAAAATTTTACGTTAACGCTTGATTGAACTATATATGATCATTAATTGCTGCTCGATTATCTACTGAACCTATATTAATAAAATGATTTGTTACTTGACAAAGCAACAGAAAAAAAGACCTTCTTCTATTGTAGATACAGCTGTTAAAGCTGGTGCTCTGACCATGAATTAAATATTTTCTATCTCACAGACTTTTATCAACAAAATGCATAGAAGGAAACACTAGCAGCATTATTATTAACTATTGTATTACTGTAATCTAATATATTAAATTCAAATCAACTAATCCAAGACCAACTTTAAATCTAATAGTCTTTTTTCTTACCGAAAGACTTGTCAGCAAATCCGTTTGCGGCTAAAATGTCCAAATGACATGTGCGTTTTACCTACATTATACTAATATAAAATACATTGTGAACAAAACTTTTTTTATTTGCGCAAAAATCAATAACTGCACTATTTAGAACATTCATAAATGTATTCAAACCATTCAAATTTCGAGAAGAACTTTGTCTAAGTCTTGCTGTTAATGTCACTCAGCGCTTCTTTTCCCGATAATAAGGTACTATCACAGTTGACTTTTTCTCTTTGCTAGGCAAAACATGCTTATTGACCCCTGACTTTTTACCCCCCGTTCCTATAACCGGTGAGAATCACAAAGTCTTGACTTAAAACTTACACTCACTATACTTTTTTCCGAAAAACATTATGTAAGTTCCTTTAGTCTAACAAAAAAAAAACATTAATCTGTGCTATGATTCATACGGATCATAAAAACTACTCATTTAATTCAAATCATAAAAATACTTTATATCTTAAATAACGTTCATTGATAAAACTTAAACTGAATTAAAGTAGTATATATATAGAACAAATAGATGATATACTTTAACAAACAATTTTATTGAATTTCATTAATGACTCAAATAAATTTGAATGTAAATTTTTCATTGTTTTTTTTTTGATTAATCAGTAGATTTATCAATTCAGATCAAGTTAATCATACTCTCGAAGGACATACTAAATGAAAAATGGTTTTTTTTTCAATATTGGTTAACATATGGGCATGAATACAAATAATAATGAACAAAGAGGTTGTCCTTTTTCTTTAGGATTGAATTAGAAAGCAATGCATGTATATATTCTCTATTGTATTTTTGATGCATTTAGTTTCGGATAATTTACACCAAATGAAAAACATTAAAACAACTTTTATTGATGTTTAGATTGCTAATGATTTTTTAGGGTGAAGTTGTTTTTTTTTCATTATACTTTCATCTAATTGATTGATTGTTCTATTTTCTAATAAACGGATGTGCTTAACTGACATTGACAAAAACAATAAAACAGTACTACTTAATAAATTCATTCTTTGTCATGTTCTATTTTTCATCTGTCATCAAGAACTAATTGTCCTTCTTTGGAAATACCAAAAAAAAAACATTTCTTTTAACTAATGGTGCAAAATGTACTTTTCTTACATAATTAAATTACAGCAAAGACAGTCTATTGGTTTTTACTTGAACGATATTCTATAGAGATTTTTCAAACGAAATTAGTTCTACATATCTCATTTGATTAATCGAACAAAATAGACTTTCATATTGTAATTACCATTTTTCATCAATAGACAATGATATTTCCAAGAATAAAATTTAAAGAAAGAAAAAGAAATCCAAATTCTATAATCATCAATTAATTTGTCTTTGTTTAATAGATATTTCTAATTGATATTGTTCACATAATTTTTTTGTTTCTTGTGTTAATGGATGATTTTCTCCCATAGATATTTGTACACGTTCATAAGTATTTTTCATAGTTGATTGAAGAATTAAATCCGATATAGTTTCACTTAATAATAATTCTAATTTTAAATGTTTAACATGTTGTAATGATACATAAGCATGATAGTATGGTAAAATATCATCATAATAATTTAATAAATTTTTACTTGATTGATATGCATTTAAATAATCATTTTTATTTATAAATTTATCCATTTGTTGTTCTTCATAATGAATTTTTTCTAATAGAATTAATTCATTTTTATTATTTTCTAAACAACGTTTACATTGACAATTAAAATAATAATTATTACGTAAAAGATCTTGTCGATTTTCATATGTATCTAATAAATCAATATAATTTATAGTCCATTCATTGTTTTGATCATTTGATATAATTCGAATAGTTAAATAAAGACCATTGAATATTGTATGACATGTTGGTCGACATGAATGATTATATATAGTTGCATCTAAATATAAACCATAACCAATAGATTTTAAATCAATTGTATCATGTATTGTTAATGTATTTATAATTAAACGACAATAAAGTTCAAATAAAATTTTATCATCAATATCATTTAATAAATTCCATGATTTTAAATATTGATTTATTAATTGAAATGTTTTATAACGTTGTTTATCATTATAAATATCATTTTCATGTGTTTTAAGATCATTTAAACAACGTTTTGTATGAGAATTATCTTCTTTACCATGATCTTGTTTATAACGTATAATTAAACGTAAAAAAAGTCTTATTAAATCATATTCATTTAGAATTTCATGTAAATGTAAACATTCATATTTATGATAAATCCAATCTTTTCGTTGACATGATATTGAACAATATGATATACGATGACATTTTGAACAACGTTTTAAATCATTTGATGAATTTAAACATTGTGAACAATATGTTGTTGTTATTGTTGATGATGATGATGAAAGTATATGAACATAAGGTAATATCGATGACAAAAGATTTGTACCACAGTTGACCATCTTTTAATCTATATATTTCTATCTGTAGTAAATATGTGTAGTGTTCAGTTACATTATATGACAAAAAGAACAGAAGAAGAAAGAGAAAAAAAACCACAAATAACTATTGCCGTAAGTGATAGATGGTATGGCATTCTCTAACGATGCCGACCCGACAAGAGAACGAGAGAGAGAAAGAAAGAGAGATCCTCACAAGGGAAATCGATTTTTTTTTTCGCATACGCTGATGGTTTATAGCACTACTCTTTACCATAAAATAAAAACAAAATAAGAAAGAGCGAATTAGATCATATGGAGGATGAACAGAAAAACATCGAGAAGATGAAGACGAGCATAAACTAACCACTAGAACAACTGCTACTATTCTATACATATCCAATATCAGTCAAGGCGAGGTCATCCAGCGGCAGCAATATGAACTAACAGTTAAAGAAAAGAACGAACATGCAAGCATTTTATACACTCACCCGATAAATGGAACACATAGAGAACAGATAATCTCTGATGACGATGATGATGGTGTTGGTTAGCATAAAGAAAAGACGAAAAAAAAGCTGATCTCGTTTATTTACGAGACTAAGAGGAAGAGAAAAAGTGGAAACCAATAATACAATATATTCATTAGTGATTCTTGCTTCTTTTTTTTCCCTCATTGTCAATCAATCAATTTGCATGAGAGAGAATATAATTAAAGAAGTTGATATCATAGAAGACAAAGATGTCTACATGATAAGCATGTCTCGACTAGTAGATAGTGATGAACATCATCATTCATCAATTTGTTTAGCTTGCTTCTTTTACGAATTAAATGAACGAGAATGACATCACACACTAAAAGTATTTACATAACTTATGAGCAAAAATGAAAATAATGCATTTCATTTGGGAATGAATATAAGAGATACTAAGACAATATATCAAATAGATCTTCATTTTTTTCTCTATAAAAATTCAAATAAAATCAATGAGAAAATTAAAAGTAAATAAGAAAAAGATAAAACAATTTCGATTGCGAATTCTCAAAAGAGTAATTTAAAAAAAACCAATTAAGAAAAATAAAGCACAGTTCGTGACAAAAAGAAATTCTCGTTTTCAGAATAAATAGAAAAAAAAAACTTAGGTAGACAGAATACAAAGAACAAGAAAATTTAACACTGGTCAAAAGCCGCAAAATTTTGAGTCAATGGCGGCCATTAGTACTTTGTAGATGGCATATGATAACCAATAAAAGAATCGTTGTTCACCTCTAAACTCACGTGTTAAGTGATAAATTTATCTCCATTTTTTTTACAACAATCTTATTCTGAATTTACAAGGAAACTTTTACTCAATAAAAAAAGAAATTTATATATAGTTGCAATAGATGTCGCTCATTATTCGAAAGCTATAATCATCATCGATGATTTGAGTTTTTTTTATATATTGAGTAAAGCAGAGAATTTAAAATCATGTTTAACATTCCATTCCATTCCAAAAAGTATCGTTATTTTTTATTTGTTGAAAAATAGATATGTGTTCATTGCAAAACATTTTTTTTTGACAGATATTTACAAAAAAATTAGAAGAGAAAGTCTCGATTGATGAAAACGTGTTTTTCCAAATGTAACTATGGTTTTTAAGCAAAGAAGAAATTTAAGTAATTCCTAGAATTTTCAAAAACTATATGACTCAAGAATGGTCCAGCAATTGTATTGTATACGTCTATAATCAATTGTTCAACTTTTGTTTAAAAAAGAAGTTTTCGATTTTATAATTGAATCTTATGAAGGAAGTACCCTCATTGTCACTCGCTGTTAGAGGTCATATTGAGCCACAAACAAATCTCGGAAAGAGACAGGTGTAATGATTATTAGAATATTCCTTTGTCAACATATAAAATTTTCAAATAAACTCGATTTTTGTAACATGTTTATCATAAACGAATACTTGTTGAAAATTCAATATATCGTCCAAGGAATATTGTTTTTGACTTAAACTTTCTGGTTGAAATATCATTCTTTTATTCAGAAAATACCTAAAATGGGTCCAAAATTCAGTAAAATGGTCGTATATACGTTCTGAAAGCACAGAAACAAAATCTTTTTGCGGTAGTTCTCTGGTTAGTATGAAGTTTCCATCAAGAAAGTCCACTTTAACATGCATCTATAAAGCGAAGGAGAAACAACTAAAATCAGATTTTTAAAATTAAACTGATTAACCTAAATTTTTTGGCACTATTTAGATAAGTTGACAGTTAGTTAAATGATATTTTTTTGCGCTTCTGGATTAAGAATCACATTGATTGCGATACTTAACATCGATCTCATTTGAAATCGATTCGGTATAAAACATAGATATTTTGCCAGGTCACAATGAGTACTTATAAAGGCATCTAAAAAATGTCGTAACAATATCGAAATATTATTCAACGTTTTAAATCAGATTATATCTCGGGTAGGTATTCGTATGTCTTCATCACGACGTGTCTTAGTATTCCGATAAGATAGATTGATCTCGCATGCGTTAACAACAAAAAACTGTTTGTTTATGTCGAAATTTTGTGTGTCTATTGGTTTTGAGTTTACAGTATGCCTGAACAATCAAGTGCCATAGTGCCATAAATTCACACGCCTGGTACAGCCGCCGTCGCACTTTTGCGGTGCCTGCTCATCTGAGACGAATTCAAACCCTGATTCTAGAGCCCGTTACAGGCAATACAGATTGTCTGTCGCTCATGTTTTTTTATAAATATTCAATAAAACACTTCGTTTTCTTACTAAGAAACTTAGATGTCCACATATAGAGTAGAGTATCTTTGCCATCGGCAGACGAAAAATTTATTTGTGACATCAAAAAACAATTTTTATAACTTGATTGGTCTTCAGTAGATAAAGTTTCTATACATTTCACCGGATTCTGATAGAATGTTCAGTTTCCATTTTGTTTGTATTAGATTAAATACTCAAGAGTCTACTCCGTGATCTTCCATAGTAATTATCCTATATGTTTGTTCAAGATGATCATAATCTACCTCCGTATATGCTGTTCATCATTTTGTATTTACTTTTTAACTTTTGTGATAGCGAGACTAAAAATGTTAACTATCGAATCTTTGGCTTTTTGATAATGAATGTCATGCATAAGACTTTAAATTGTCCATTTTTGTATTGGTGATTAAATAAACTCAATTAGAAAAATAAAATGTTATTTTTGTTGAAAATTTGGCAAATGCATTCTTTTTATTTATCTTATTGACAGCTATCATGAAACTTTTCAACTATTTAAAAACCAACATTTACAAGATTTATTACGTAGAATATATTGTAAAAGTTTCGTTGTTCTGAAGTTCTTGCTTGTTGCATTAGTTCTGCAACAGCCATATCAACCATCATTTGATCTTAATCAGCAGTAGTCTTTCGCGGTGCTCCGGATTGAGAACGGTCGGGGAGATTTTTTGTTTCTTTCCAACGATTTAGCCAGTTAGTTACGGTCTTCAGATTACATTTCATGATCTTGACAACCTTATGGGAGCTCAGTTGTGGGCCGTTCTTGAGAGTGTGGGCGTGGACGTGGGTGTGGGTGTGGACGTGGGTATGTGGGGGTGGGTGTGGGTGTCGTTGAGACAAGGCCCCACCCCACCCACACCCATATCCCACACCACCCACACCCCACACCCAAACCCACACCCACACATCCACATCCTGTTTCAGCTTCAAAGGAGCTGCGTTGAGAAGCTTTTTCATAAGTGCCAATCTAGATTGATATCAACGAGAGTGAAATACAAACATGGGAATCTATTGATTTACGTGAAATACTATTTTGAGTTCTGTAAGAGGAAGTTTTGTTTGACACTCTTTGCTATGGCTTCTAAAACTTGATAGCTTCCTGTTCGTAGATTGTGTAACATGTTCGTTTCCGATGCGAGATCGAGACTAGTAGTACCTGTTGTGATGCGCTCAGTTTCTAGGAAATCTACAACCTGCTCTTGGCTCTCTCTTGCTTTTGTCCAATCTCGTTTCATGATGTATATATAAAAACACATTTTGTGTACAATGATAACATAACTCGATTTTGGTGGAAGTTCATGCATATTTAATACATTCGTAGCGAACTGCAACGCGATTTCGAAGTCACCTTGTTGTAGAAAAATCTTAACAATATTGATATTGACTGTTACATTTTGGAGCAAGTCTGTTACATTTGAGCTGTCTGGTTGATTCACGCATTGTAAGTAAAGTCAAGAGCTAGGTCTGTATTACCACATTGTTCGGCTTCTTGTGCTTTCTGTAATAATGATTCTCGTTCACTGAAATGATTGCTGCCTAAGAGATGTCGTAACTCATTTTGTGTTATCGTTTGAGGATTTGATAGATCCTGGTTTCGTCCATTATTAGAGCTAATAAAACCCATACTTTGAAGTAAAATTTCAGGATTTATTATACTAGACAATGGTTGTACTGCATGGTAGAGTCGTTCCTGAAAGTTTCTGGGATCGACTTCATGAAGAGAGTCGAATGATGCTATTTCTGTAATAAGGTTCACCAGATCGGGAGCAATAGTAGCTGTGATTTGCCGACTTTCGTCAGACACACTATGCCGTATAAAGTCTAATGCACCATTTTCACTTAGTAAAGCTTTCAAGCTATCAAAATGTACTTTGATACCTTTGCACAAATATTCGAAGAGCGGATCAATCCGTTGCTCTCTAACGAATCGAGTTTTAGCCATATCGTACATTACAATTGCTTTACGTCGCTCACCCATTTTCAGAAGGAGAAATGCCAATGCAAGCATCGCTCCTGATTCGTGTCGGCAATCAATCATCTCGAATGACACTAAAGGTTGAATATTGAAAATGACTTTTTTGAACTGTGCGAATTGTTCATCATCTCGTGTGCACATTGACAAACGAATAAGAGTAACTCCATCTTCGACTTCATCAAAAGATTCGATACGAAAAACAGCACCCATGGCTAGTAAAATTTCTCCTTCGTCGGCAACGGCGCTTAAATGAGATACATTAGCGAATGAAGGTACACAATCGCCGAGTGATGTATCGATCGAAACCTCAAATATAACTGATTCGTGTTCGGGTCTTAATTGACCTGATCCAGAAAATATCGATGTTACTTGTTGATCCTCGGTTGTCGAAACAAACGAATTGATTGACACCAGATTACCTCGGTTTCGTTTCCATTTAGCGTACTCTCCAGCCGTTATTTGCTGCCCTCGATAGACTTTTAATACGCGTCCTAAATTCGAATTAAAAAAATCTCATCAGCTCTTTTGCTTGCAAAGCATGAGATTGATAACGATTCATGAAAACTATTGTGTACAAACGATAATTCACCTTCCTTTTACCTTTGTCACAGGCTCTGATAAACATATTTAGCTTCTCCTCTATCATTATTTGATTATAAGAGTATTTATTTGCAACTGTGATTCTCCGTGGAATTCATAGCTGTGCATTGATCTCTGTTAGGACCCTTGTTGGTTCTTTTTTCGCTCATTGGTTTTGCGTATGGATATTTACCTGTTCTTCTGTCAACAGTATACTCACACCCACATCCTCAGATAGCGTGGTGACCCTTCGAGGACAGATTTGAATCCATGATAGTCCGACATAGTGCTTATGATCACCAAGGCTATCCATGTAAAAATGTGATATATTTTCATGGTAGAGACAGCTTTTTAAGACCTGCGAAATGGTGCAAAAGTATAGAGGAAAATATGGTGCGCTGGATATTTTCTGAAGACAATACTGGTACCATCTGAT